CACACGCTCTATCTCTGATATTGAGCACTTTATCCTCTAAGTATAGCACATCTTAAGACTATATTTCTCCATATATATATATATATATATCTATGTATGTATGTATGTATGTATGTATATAAATAAAAAGAAAGAACAGTAAGATATATAATCCGGTGTTCTTATAGATATTTTTATTTTTACAAAATGTAAAATATAAATGCTCGATGTAAATTTACAGAGCATTAATATTATAAATTAATTGATTTAAAATATGTTTTTTTTTTTCGCTACATCGACGAGTATAACTGCTTATATTTATAAGATTATTAGTAGTATACATATATATATATATATATGTGTGTGTGTGTGTGTGTGTGTTGGTGTCTGCGTTTGTTCTGCCTATTCGAGGAAATAGAAGCACTTTTTGACCCCGATTTTTGCCAGCAGGAGACTCTTGTTTAGTATCATTGTTGTTGGGCAGAAAAAGCGGCAAAGTAGTGTTTCGAAAAGTCGGAACGTTCAACCGGAAATGTCCTTTTCGCAAATGGAAATGAACTTATTAAAGAGGAAACGCCTTTATATTCAATCGTAAAGGAAAGGAAAAATGACGTCGATGAAAAATGAAACATATTTTGATATTTGAACGTAAAAAAACGTTGTTGTGTTTGAAAAAATGCAAAACACTTTGGCTTCATCCGACTCGCTGCAAACGGATTCATTAATCGGACCAATTGTTGGTTTTTGTGGATCAATGTCAGAAGTAATAATTAAAACGCGACCGAGAATTTACAGTAGAAGGTTATTTCCCTTGCACATTTATATGTTTACATAACTTGTTAAGTTTGGTACAAGGCCTTAAATGTGGAGTTTAAAATGTGTTAAAAGCTGTTCAAAGTTCGCCTAGAATTCTGCACTCTGCAACTTTTCAAGATGGTTTCCTCGCAAATAAAGGAAATCTTTCTTACTTACTGGACATTGATAATGCTTCAAGTTAAAATCTCCACCAAACGAAACACACATACACACACACAGGCACAAACACACATACACACACGCACATACACACATTCGTACACACGCACATACACACACACGCCCACATCCCCTCATATACACACGCATACACACATACGCAAACACGCACATACACGCATGCACACGCACACACATACACACATGAAAAAGGAAAATGAGAAAAAATAATGGTAAGCATGTTCGATGCAAACATTTTTTTCAGTTTAATTTTTTGTGATTTTTCTCTTTTTTATTATTTTCTTAATCTTTTTAAAGATTTTGCTTTATATACATATTCTTATAGATACCTCCACTAATTTGCTAAAAAACTAGCATGCCTTGATGAAAAAATGCTGCAAACTTAATAAAAACATTGTTTTATCATCAAAATCTTTATGTTGTTATTAGGAGGAAAGACTAAAGAACTTTTTGATTATTTAATTATATTTTTTATCCTTTTTTAGTATGTTCGAAATTTTGGTTAAAAATCTTGTTTTTTTTTTGTTTTTTTTTATTTTTTTTTCTGCCAGCAGTTAAACCAAAGATTAATATAAGAAATCTTTGCGTCATTTCTTTTACGATAAAAATCACATTGATTTGGGAATTCTTGCAAAAATCAGATAATTGTCAGATTTTAAGGAAATTTTCAGGACTTATTCACAAATGAATGAAATTGTATTTTTTTATTTGTTTTTTTTTTACAAGATGTTGGTAAAAATATTGCTTTTTACATCTGTTACCGCACACTTATTTACATCTGTTACCCCCACACACACAATCATTAAATGTTATGAAAATTAATTTTTTTCCTCTTTAATATTTATAATAATTAAAGCAGAAAACGTTGGAGAATTTAAAACATTAATTTTTACCGAAAATAATCATGTGTTCAAATTTGGAAGTCTGTCAACATTTGTTAATTGGTTCGTTTTTTACGGCTTATCAACATTTTGCACGTTATTTAAAGCCATCAAATATTTTTTGATTGTAAGAATTTTTCTTTTTAGATAGTACTGGTTTAGTCATACAAGTCTTGCTAATTAACCCATAGCTGGGGGGAAGAAGTGGTGGATTCATATGTTTTCGAAGGCTATTTGCGCGTAAATGAAGATAACGAGCCCAACGGGAATTGGAACTCAGCTCTCCAATTAAAAATTCCAAGCCATTATCCGTTTCACCACCCGCACATCCAAGCTTACAGCACCTGTTATCCTCAAGCGGTCACCTATGAAGATACTGACCATTGGTGGTGTTAGAAGAGGTGGAAAAGCAAAAGAAAATAGAAAGATATGTCTCCAGAAATTTAAAAGAAAATAGTAATTTTTATCCTGCTTTAAAGTATATAATAATATACAAGATATTCAAAAAGCTGTTGAAATACAAGGATCTTGAAATCGAGAATCGAAATCTCAAAAATGGGGCACATGGGAACATCATAGGATTGGTTGGAAAAGATTCCAGTAGACTAATTGAAGGGATTCCTGGAAGCCCATCCCGCAAAGAAATACAAAAAATTGTTCTCACAAGTAGAGCCCACACTTTACGAAGAGCTTTATCTATGGAAAATTTTATTTTATTTTATTTACTTATTTATTTATTTATTTTTTTCAGTAGAAAGTGTCATGATGCCATCAGTGGTTACGTAATACAGGGTTAAAAGCTGAAACTGAATGTTTTATACTTGCTGCACAGGACCAATGCTTGCTAACCAGAAATTACCAAGCAGACATACGGAAAAATTGTGTTAACCCGAAATTCAGATTCTGTGATAAATATCCAAAAACAATTGGCCATTTTGTATCAGGTTGGGCAGTATGGGAAGCTACTGAATATAAAACTCGGCATGACAGAGTAGGCCAATATCTGCACTAAAAAAATGTATAACTTTTACGGAAAGAAAACTGCAAGACATTGGTATAGACATCACCCAGACCCGATTTCAGACTTAAAACAATTTTATGGGACTTTACAATCCACACAGAACAATCAAAACTAATCGACCAGATATTTGGGATCAAAGATCACAAAAACAGAATGTGCTTTCTTATTGATATGACAGTTCGCACAGAGTGCAATGTATCTTTGAAGATCTTTAAAAAAAAACCTATTAAGAAGAGTTTTATCTCTGTAAAATGTGTGTGGTTATAGGTTGTCTTATTTTTTAACCAAAAATTCTCAGTGGAAAATGTCATGATACCATTTCTGACCTTAGGTCTCTGTTTGGGACCCGGAAACAAACGTGAACACGCCAGAAATCAAAGGAAATAAAAACAACAACAACAATAATAATAATAATAATATACAACGCATTTAATCCGTGAATGGAGAATGTTTGAGTAACAGTGGGGGCCAGTGTTTGCCTTATGTGCTACCAGCGAAAATTTTTCGATTTAATCGAAATCATAAATCAATTTAAAAATCCACAGGTAGAAATGTGACATTTTCTACTTGCGAAACAAAAAAATCAGACTGCTTATAATTTCCGCAAAATTTATTTTTTATTGACTTTTGTCATAAATTTCTTTATTTTATTTTTTTATACATCGAAATAACATGAACCAAAAACCCGTCATTATCAGAAATTTTGACATTTACGATGTTCGCTCCGAAAGTAATGCCACCTATTTTATGATGTGACCCACGAATTCAAGTGCAAATTTTGATTGTATTGAAGTAAAGGTTGAACCTTACTGCCAATAACCTTTTTTTCTTTCTTTTTTTTTTTTTTGCCATGTACGGGCAAAATGGCATCTGACATGAAAATGAAGACGAAGCAGACATATATTGCTGAAATCATTCACTCGGAAAAATAGTGCCCATTTACGTTCGCAGAGACCAAACAGTAGATGTGAACACAGTTAGGTGGTGGGTACATGCGATTTCAGTAATGACAACTGCATTGTTTGTGAGAAGCTATGTTTACCATCTTAGCATGAAGACACCTGTTCTTCGCTGGCGAAAATACATTTTGTAGGTGAAAATTTGTTCTACCCAACCGTGTTATTGTAGTCCTTGTATCTGCTAGGAAAATAAATCGGAGGTATTACTTTTGAAGTGTCCTTCGCTCACAACGCTTCGAAACGGCGAAATTCGTCAAATGTCATATCGTAAAAAACTGTTAAATATGTTTATACGATTTAAATAGAAGGTAGATTTTGAAGACTATCACATATCAACTTACATTTCTGCTATGGTGTAAACAGACCCCCCCCCGGATGACTCTATGAACTTGCCCAATAGAATAAGGAGTTCCATGCTATAAGGCAGTGAGTAATCATAGAGTAGTCAGAGAGGTTCACTGCCAGGCTCGCGGCTGACTTGTTGAACTCTCTGCCAGACGAGGCTATGCTGGAGAACAGAGTCTCGTCTGGGGAGGAAGAGAAATCGGAATCGCCCACAAAAAATCGGCCTTGTGCCACATCTTGACTTGTGGGGAGGTTGATAAAAACCAGTCGCATTGTATTCAGTCTTCATACTAACTTTACAGGTGTTACAGCAATCGCCTAAGCATTACGTATAGAGAACCCTTTAACAAATTACGTTATACCAAGTACGAGTTTGTGTTATAAAGATAACCAAGTTATATAGGAAGTTATAATAGTTAGCGACGAGGATCTCTAAATCAAGCGCGGAATATAAAATCGCAACATTATAACTGGAGTTATAACAGATGGCGACACGGAACTTAAACTCAAGCACAGTATAACAAGCACCACATTATAACTGGAGTTATAAACGTGAGCGACCAGATTTTTGAAACTCATACGTGTGCAACAGGAGATACAAGAATTTCAATCACGTTTGTTTAACAAAACATTTTTTGCTGATAGGGAGAAAATTTTGGCTTCAATAGTTGAAATTCAAGAACAACAACAGAAGCAACAACAACAAAAT